CCCCCCCCCCCATATTATTTTTTCTTTAATATCTAAAATGTATAGATACGGCCTGTTACAATTTTATTATATGTATAGATTGCTAAAAAATGTTGAAGTACCTCATGTCCTTATAGAATTCAGTATTAAAATTTATATAAAAAATGAGCATTATAAATTAATTACTAACTGCCAAAAATAAATAACATTGCTGGCTAAATAACTACTTTGCTTAATTTTTAGTTAAGCACGAAAAAATCAATCTCAAAAAATAAGAACCACCCTAATGTGCTTATGTAGGTGCTCGCAGTATGAACGATCGATAACGCAATTAGAGCCAATTTCAAATGAAAATTTAAATGTCGCTTAAGTTTAAGTTTGGATTGTTATTTAAATGCCATTTAGCTTTCGGATTAGTTGTATTTAAATATGCCAAACAAGTGGTCACACTGTTGCTTGTTCCTTGAAATTGTTGTTGCATTTGTTTGTTTGTTTACATTTTGTGCTGAACAGCTGATTTTTGTTTGGTATGGCCATTTAAGTGCAGTTTATACATATATGACAAATTCTGTTTGATATCGGAAGTACATGATTAGTCGGAATCACGAAAAAATGCAAACTTTGATAGATCATATCTCCGAAGAAAAAATAAATAAATAAAATAATTCTTCGAACAAGTGTTAGGTTATTTCATGTATAAAACCCATAAAACAAATTTGAAGCGAATCGGAGACATGACATTATTTTTATTACGAAATCCGTCCAACTTAAAAAAGAATGGCTCATATATGATCTGAAATTGAATTTTTTAAGTTAATATACAATCTAGAGTCCCAACCGAACGTTCGGCTTCGGTTTGCCGATTAATCGACTATTTTTCATAGTCGGCTCAATGCTCGGCTTCAAAACGACCGAAGTTTTCGCCGAAGACGAACCTTTTGCTATCTAGTTTGTTTTTTTTGAGCGTGTATTATAAATTAAAGGCATACATTTATTCTGATTAATCTGTTTCACAAATATGGTATTGTAAATTTTTAATCAGCTGACTGTCAGCTGAGAACTTCGGAATTTGAATTTGTCATTAAGGAATATATGGTCATATTAAAGAGTTATTAGATGAGCTGACATTTTTCAATATTAAAATACTAGCTTCCTAAAATTACTTAAAGCAGTTACCGAAAATTTACTTACCCCACCACCCACAAAGCTCACTTAGCGAGAACGCAAACAATTTGCTGTATTTGAGTTACAACATCAGGACGTCCGTTGGGTCTGATAGGTTAGAGGTGCATACTACCACTTCATAGATAAGATTCTAAATAGATCAGAAAAAATATTTCTAACGCCGGTCGCTGCTCGGCAGGCAATGGCAAACATCCGAGTGTATTTCTGGTTCTCGAAAAACCCATTTAATGTTCTGAAACGGCGTAAATCTTTAAGTTCCTCCATTAATGTTACAACATCAAGACGCACACCAGAGACCGGCTTTGAGTACTAATTAAATTACTGTACTAATTCATGATCCATTACAATTGGGCCAAATGAGTACTCATACCAGTTACGCAAATCCACTTAAAATAGCACATCTGAAATCGGGCCTTAGTATATTTTATAGATCAATATGAATTCTAGGTCTATCAGAATTATTTGCATTAGTTCATGAATCACTCCTAAATTGATTTGAAATTTAACTATAAATTCCGTTCTACACATTAAATAAATGTTTAGTCCTAGACCTTGTCTAAACCTAGAATATTGAAATAATTATGTATGCATGTATTTTCAAAGCACAATATTGCACGCGTTCTTCAAAAGTCCATTAACTCTAAATTTATCACATTCAAATATTCGTGTATATGGATAAAATCCGGTTATGTGGTTAATATCCATTAATTTAGTTATCCAAATATCTGGTTGATATCCGACTTTTCGGATAATTTAATCAGATATTCGAATATCCGGATAGAACTCCCAGCCCTAATAGATATGTTTGTGCATATCGCTCATTTACTTCAAAAGTGTCATAATTCATAAAAGTCAAACTCGGGAAAAACGGCTTTAAAGTTTTCAATTTACAAATGAATACTCCCATAGTAAAAATGAATACATACATACATATTTTGTTCTAGTGAGATACAGGTAATCGATACAACATTGGTAATTTCTGCATACTCAACTCAAAATTTATATTTATATTACACTAGCTATTGAAAGTAAATGAGCGATATGATTGTCAGAAAAATTTTAACCATTATTTTGTAATCATTGACTGCCTAAAACACTTATTCCTATCATCTTCCAATTTGGCACTACAACCGTTTGTCGGTTTGGGCCGAGAACAAAAAACTTCGCCAGTTGTCTCTCTCATTTGCGGATTCGCGCCAAGTTGTTCGTTCCAAGTGCGGTCCTTCCATTGTGTTGCTGACATTCCTGGGCTTCATACCGACGATGTCAATATCATCTGCATACGTCAGCAGCAGATTGACAGCTCTTCATTGTGTTGCGATATTTTATCTACAATGCGCTTTGAAATAGTTTTCTCT